TCGGAATTTCAACTTGAAACTCGAAATTCCGACTTGTAACTCGGAATTCCGAGTTGTATGTCGGAATTCCGAGTTACAAGTCGGAATTCCGAGTTACAAGTCGGAATTCAAGTTAAGAAAGCTGAAATCACAACTGATATTGAATCAATACCTCAATTAAACGTGCTGTGTGTTTTGATTCGCATTTTGGAGTAGGTAATAAATTTCTTAAATGTAGTAAGTGTAACATATTATTATTATTATTATTATTATTATTATTATTATTATTATTATTATTATTATTATTATTATTATTATTAATTATTATTATTATTATTATTATTATTATTATTATTATTATTATTATTATTATTATTATTATTATTATTATTATTATTATTGTGTTTTAGCGTTCAGTTATTGAGACACAGTACATCTCTATTCATGGCTCTATGAGTTCCTCGAGTAACAAAAATCTTAATGTGAATAATTCTATGCATTTATAATATATTTCGATTAATAAACAAAATTTATTTACCAGTCAAGTAATACAGAAGATCTGGCAAAGACATATTTTTCATATGGATTTCAGCAAAAGGAAATTTTACAATTCTTAAATATATTGCACAATAAGCGTGTTTCCCTTCGTATCTTGCAAAGAATTTTAAAAAAACGTCAACTATATAGACGAAAAAAATATTCCAAAATCGAAGATAGGAAGCGAAATTAAAAAATGTGGACAACTTCATGGATATCGATGGATGTACTTAAAATGTCTCCAAAAAAATCTTGTAGTCACCCAAGATATCGACAGAGAACTGCTTGGATTGTTAGATCCGGAAGGTGTGGAAATTAGATAACGATTAAGACGTCGACAATATCACAATAAAGGCCCAAACTATTTATGGCACATTGATTCATACGATAAACTAAAACCATATGGAATTTGTATTAATGGTTGCATTGACGGATTTTCTAGACATATAATTTGGCTTCGAGCGGGACCTACAGCTAGTGATCCAAAGGTAAATTAATATAATTATTAAGCATTCCAAACAGAATGGCTGTCGGTGGTAAAGGGTTTGGTATATCTAAGAGGTTGCGACATACGATGTATTCTATCTCCAACAAGTGAAATCATGAAACATTGATTAAATCTTTTATGTCGAACCCAATGAAAATTTTATTTTTAAATTAACTATTTAAACGTTTTTCATAAATTGACAGGTTTGACGACTACTATTTCGAATAAAAATAGCGTCCAATCTGGAAGGCTATAGCGCAACCCCCTTAGATATACGTGCCCTTCCCACCGAGACTTATTGTTTAACAGGTAGTTGAAATGTCAATTATTACTCTTTCTACTGCAGTCGAAGTAAAACATCATAAATTTTTCTGCATTCTGTAGAATTTTTTGTTGTAGGTTATTGCAGGATATTACTTAGAAGGAATAAAAATGGTTGGTGGTTGACCTAAAAGTGTAAGGTGTGATTTAGGTACCGAAAATAAAATAATTGAGAAGATCCAAACTCCTTCTTCTAAACCGTATTTTTTATATGGATAAAGTGTGCATAATCAAAGAATAGAAGCATGGTGGTCTATTTTGCGAAAACATAATACACAATTTTGGATGAATTTTTTTTAAACGTTGAAAGATGAAGATTATTTTTGTGGTGATTTTTTGGATAAGTCTCTCGTCCAATTTTGTTTTATGACTCTGATTTAGGTAAGAATTCTTGTTTAAAAAGTAAAAATACTATAAATTTATTAAATAAATCTCAAAAGAGATTATTATTATTATTATCATTATTATTAATAATATTAATTATTAATTTAAGGAGGACCTCAACGAAGTTGTTATGGAGTGGAATGTGCATAAAATAAGTAAATCTAGAAATAGTATAGCACCTACTGGAAGACCTGCAATAATGTTCGACATATCGTCTCTTTATGGAGCAAAGAACTATTGTGTTTAAATTACAAATTTTTCTGTTGATTCCCTTTCCGATCACTGCACATTCAACGAATATCCATGTGACAAAGACATATTATTTGTGCAGAATTTTAATTTCAGAAAACAGATACCCACCAGTGAAAGATCATAATTCAGCATTATATTTATACATACAATTAAGAAATTTAATTTTATTATTAATTAATTGACTTGTTACTTTGTATCGAACAGATAATAAATATGTATTTTAATATATTTTTTTCTTTGATATTTGGAATAAATACACAAATTAGCTAAGAGTTTTTAATTTAATTAATGAAAACCATAAATAAAAATATGAAAATAAAAACAAGCTAAACATTCATGACTTTTAAGGGTATCCTGAAAAACCATTAATAAAAACTATAAAAACAAATTATACAATATACAACAACAAAACACTAAACAAACTAAATAATATCCTTTATATTAATACAAAACACCCTGCAGGTAGTTATACATATTTGACTTTTTTCACATCGTCAAAAATTAATCAAAAACATAAAAATAAAAGTATTATACAATTTAAACAAACTAAATAATATTGATATTAACAAGATATCCTGCAAAAACCGTAATGAAAAACAAAAATAAACATATTAAACAAATTAAATAAACAATAATATCCTTAATATTTATTTATATTTATTCTGGAATAACAACTTAAAGAACCTACATAATACCCTCGATGTTTGTTTACAGAATTTCATAGAAAAACCTTAAAATATTTAGGGAGTAATTCTCACATGAAATTAATCCAAAATTCTATATTATAGATAAAGTTTTATACATGGTGTTCCATTAGTGCGTAATTGTTCAATATTTCAATTTGTGTTATTGACACGCAAACAAGTTTCGAATAAAAGTTGTATGGATTTAAAAAATATGTGATTTAAAAATATTTTTGGAGATACAGGGTGTTGCCTTTTTGTCTGGCAAATAAAAATGTATATTTTCGTATTTCTAATAATAAAACAACTATCGATCAATTACGCATATTGGTATCGCTGTATAGACAAATTTATAAGGGATTTTATGCTAAGATAATATACATTGAAAGAATTAAGTAAATTGAACTTAAAATTAGTCATATTTAAGCAATGTTTCAGAACAAACCAGTTCTATTACCACTATTCGCTAGCTTACTATCTTAGTCTATTTAATAAACAATTTCAAAAATTTAAGAAATTCATTATCTACTCCAAAATGACAATCAAAATACACAGCATGTTTAATCGTGGTCTTAATTCAATATCAATTGTGATTTCAGACCTCTGAATTTAAATTCCGAGTTGTATGTAGGAATTCCGAGTTGTATGTAGGAATTCCGAGTTGTATGTCGGAATTCCAAGTTGTATGTCGGAATTCCGAGTTGCAAGTCGGAATTCCGAGATACAAGTCGGAATTCCGAGATACAAGTCGGAATTCCGAGATACAAGTCGGAATTCCGATTTGTATGTCGGAATTCCGAGTTATAAGTCGGAATTTGAAAAAAAAAATTTTGTGGCGGTTCTACGCCTTCGTACTTTTACGAAGGCGTAGAACCGCCACAAAAATTTTTTTTTTCAAATTCCGACTTGTATCTCGAAATTCCGACTTGTAACTCGGAATTCCGAGTTGTGACTCGGAATTCCGACTCATAACTCGGAATTCCGACATACAAATTGGAATTCCGACTTGTATCTCGGAATTTCGACTTGTATCTCGGAATTCCGACTTATAACTCGGAATTCCGACATACAACTCGGACTTCCGACTTGTATCTCGGAATTCCGACTTGTAACTCGGAATTCCGACATACAACTCGGAATTCCGACATACAACTCGGAATTCCTACATACAACTCGGAATTTAAATTCAGAGGTCTGAAATCACAATTGATATTGAATAAAGACCACGATTAAACATGCTATGTATTTTGATTGTCATTTTGGAGTAGATAATGAATTTCTTAAATTTTTTAAATTGTTTATTAAATAGACTAAGATAGTAAGCTAGCGAATAATGGTAATAGAACTGGTGTGTTCTGAAACATTTCTTAAATATGAATAATTTTAAGTTCAATTTACTTAATTTTTTCAATATATATTATCTTAGCATAAAATCCCTTATAAATTTGTCTATACAGCGCTACCAATATGCGTAATTGATCGATAGCTGTTTTATTATTAGAAATACGAAAATATACATTTTTATTTGCCAGACAAAAAGACAACACCCTGTATCTCCAAAAATATTTTTAAATCACATATTTTTTAAATCCATACAACTTTTATTCGAAACTTGTTTGCGTGTCAATAACACAAATTAAAATATTGAACAATTACGCACTAATGGAACACCATGTATAAAACTTTATCTATAATATAGAATTTTGGATTAATTTCATGTGAGAATTACTCCCTAAATATTTTAAGGTTTTTCTATGAAATTCTGTAAACAAACATCGAGGGTATTATGTAGGTTCTTTAAGTTGTCATTCCAGAATAAATATAAATAAATATTAAGGATATTATTGTTTATTTAATTTGTTTAATATGTTTATTTTTGTTTTTCATTAAGGTTTTTGCAGGATATCTTGTTAATATCAATATTATTTAGTTTGTTTAAATTGTATAATACTTTTATTTTTATGTTTTTGATTAATGTTTGACGATGTGAAAAAAGTCAAATATGTATAACTACCTGCAGGGTGTTTTGCATTAATATAAAGGATATTATTTAGTTTGTTTAGTGTTTTGTTGTTGTATATTGTATAATTTGTTTTTATATTTTTTATTAATGGTTTTTGAGGATACCCTTAAAAGTCATGAATGTTTAGCTTGTTTTAGCTTGTTTTTATTTTCATATTTTTATTTATGTTTTTCATTAATTAAATTAAAAACTCTTAGCTAATTTGTTTATTTATTCCAAATATCAAAGAAAAAAATATATTAAAATACATATTTATTATCTGTTCGATACAAAGTAACAAGTCAATTAATTAATAATAAAATTAAATTTCTTAATTGTATGTATAAATATAATACTAAATTATGATCTTTCACTGGTGGGTATCTGTTTTCTGAAATTAAAATTCTGCACAAATAATATGTCTTTGTCACATGGATATTCGTTGAATGTGCAGTGATCGGAAAGGGCATCAACAGAAAAATTTGGAATTTCAACACAATAGTTCTTTGCTCCATATAGAGACGGTATGTCGAACATTATTGCAGGTCTTTCAGTAGGTGCTATACTATTTCTAGATTTACTTGTTTTATGTACATTCCACTCCGTAACAACTTCGTTGAGGTCCTCCTTAAATTAATAATTAATAATAATGATAATATTAATAATCTCTTTTGAGATTTATTTAATAAATTTATAGTATTTTTACTTTTTAAACAAGAATTCTTACCTGAATCATACTCATAAAACAACATTGGACGAGACACTTATCCAAAAAATCACCACAAAAATAATCTTCATCTTTCAGCGTTTGAAAAAAATTCATCCAAAATTGTGTATTATGTTTTCGCAAAATAGACCACCATGCTTCTATTCTTTGATTATGCACACTTTATCCATATAAAAAACATGGTTTAGAAGAAGGAGTTTGGATAAACAATTCATGATATGATTTTGGCATCTTCTCAATTATTATATTTTCGGTACCTAAATCACACCTTACACTTTTAGGTCAACCACCAACCATTTTGATTCCTTCTAAGTAATATCCTGCAATAACCTACAACAAAAAATTCTACAGAATGCAGAAAAATGTATGATGTTTTACTTCGACTGTAGTAGAAAGAGTAATAATTGACATTTCAACTACCTGTTAAACAATAAGTCTCGATGGATAGGGCTCGTATATCTAAGAGGGTTGCGCTATAGCCTTCCAGATTGGACGCTATTTTTATTCGAAATAGTAGTCGTCAAGCCTGCCAATTTATGAAAAACGTTTAAATAGTTTATTTAAAAATAAAATTTTCATTAAGTTCGACATAAAAGATTTAAATATAATCAATTTTTCATGATTTCACTTGTTGTAGATAGAATACATCGTATGTCGCAACCTCTTAGATATACCAAACCCTTTACCACCGACAGCCATTCTGTTTGGAATGCTTAATAATTATATTAATTTACCTTTGGATCACTAGCTGTAGATCCCGCTTGAAGCCAAATTATATGTCCAGAAAATCCGTTAATGCAACCATTAATACAAATTCCATATGGTTTTAGTTTATCGTATGAATCAATGTGCCATAAATAGTTTGGACCTTTATTGTGATATTGTCGACGTCTAAATCGTTTTCTAATTTCCACACCTTCCGGATCTAACAATCCAAGCAGTTCTCTGACGATATCTTGGGTGACTACAAGATTTTTTTGTAGACATTTTAAGTACATCCATCGATATCCATGAAGTTGACCACATTTTTTAATTTCGCTTCCTATAAAATTCATAACATCTTCGATTTTGGAATATTTTTTTCGTCTATATAGTTGACGTTTTTTCAAAATTCTTTGCAAGGTACGAAATCCATATGAAAATTATGTCTTTGCCAGATCTTCTGTATTACTTGACTGGTAAATAAATTTTGTTTATTAATCGAAATATGTTATAAATGCATAAAATTATTCACATTAAGATTTTTGTTACTTACATTATTCGAGGAACTCATAGCCATGAATAGAGATGCACTCTGTCTCAATAACTGAACGCTAAAACACAATAATAATAATAATATGTTACACTTACTTCATTTAAGAAATTTATTACCTACTCCAAAATGCGAATCAAAACACACAGCACGTTTAATCGAGGTATTTATTCAATATCAGTTGTGATTTCAGCCTTCTTAACTTGAATTCCGACTTGTAACTCGGAATTCCGACTTGTAACTCGGAATTCCGAATTGTACATCAGAATTCCGAGTTGCATGTCGGAATTCCGAGTTACAAGTCGGAATTCCGAGTTACAAGTCGGAATTCCGAGTTGCAAGTCGAAATTCCGAGATACAAGTCGGAATTCCGAGATACAAGTCGGAATTTGAAAAAAAAAATTTTTTGTGGCGGTTCTACTCCTTCGTATACTTTTCAGGGTTTTACATAATTTTTTATTTTGTTTAATTTTTTTGTGTCCATTTTCTACTTGCTTTCCCCAGCACTAATCACTTTTGTTTTAATGTACGACTTCACGTCACTACGTACTATTAGATTAACCGTTCGCGCACTGTTACTTATCACAGCTTCTTTGGCAAGCATGTCTGCTTCCTCTACCTGTTATTCTGATGTGGGATGAGATCCATATAAATAACGTTTTTACCATTTAATTGAGCTGGACCAAGTTCTTCTTTTATTTTAACAATTAAAGGGTTGCTTGTATATATTCTCTGTAATGACTTTATAGTGTCACGCTAAACAAATATCACCCTATATATAAAATATACATTTTCTATTTTAATATACATTCGTTAAGTTAAAAAATTCAGCATAATATTTTATGTAATATTTTGACAAACATTAGATGCAATTCATAAGTACGTCCTTAATAAAAGTAAATATAATATTAGACTAGACACGTACTGACCTTAATCGATTAATATAAAAATCGGCTGGGTCAACAATAATGACACCCTTGGTCGAAGTCTCAACCGAGACTCGGTCGGAATCTCATCCGAGACTCTTGGCCGGAGTCTCACCCTAGACTCTTAGTTTGAGTCTCATTATCATCTCGCATACCATTAAAAGAAGTGACGTGACGTGCCCTCATCGTCTTTAGATGTTTAGCCCTTGGTAAGGCCCTTTTTATATTATTACAATATTTTGAATATATTATTTTATCTTTAATAAATTGTTAATTGTTGTTCTGCTCTTTTATTTCCCTGAGTCAGGTAGCACACAGAGTCACTAAATAAAGTAGCTCGTGATATATGGTGGATATATGGTCAATATTTTCAATATTTTGTTTTGATATTTAACAAATCAATTTCACCATAGGTATCTAATTTCACAACAAACACTTGCCGTAGAATAATGTAATTAGATAACAAAAAAATTCTTATTGCACTATTATATAATTTTTTTTCATTAAAAGAGATGATCTGAACATAGTTTATAAATAAAAACATTAGAGTACATACGGGGGAAATAATATAAATTACATTTTTATTCATTTTTCTAGTGGGTGAGAAATTAAGTAATTACGAGAAAAAATTAAAAGTCCAATACATAAAGTTATCTTTTTTAAATAATATATAAACACGGAGAGGATAATGATATATAAAGTTTTAAAATTTTTTGGTACTGACAAAGGCAAACCTCTAAAAAGTAAATAATAAAAGTGTTATAAGGAGAAGATTATGTAAAGAGTTTGCCTTTTGTTCAACTTAAGCTAAATTAGAAATAGGATCATTAAGATTGTTTTTTTCTTTCTCCTCTTTATAAATTTACATAAAGTCTACCTGTATTTTTTCTTCTTTGCATATGAGCCCACACCACCAGTCAAACACTACCAACCAGACACAATTCAGCCAACCGGACGCGATCATTCCTGGAGCTAGCCTTAAGAGACATATACCGAATGGATCACAGTGATGAGACAATACCGGTGGTATAGTCTCGGAAAAGCAACCCTAAGAGTCCAATTAAATAGAACTGCTAGAGAAAAGCGAATTAAGAAGTTATGGGTACCAGCCAAAAATACCCAAACGACAGTTATTCGCCCAAAATACAGATTAGTCGCCAACAATCCCAGCAGTCAGAGAGGAACTGCCTGTAACCAAATCGTCGGTGAAATCAACCAGTTATGCCCTGCAGTTCAGATTCAGCGAGGTTGGAAACATATTCGAGGGAATGTCCCACTGAGACTACGGCCCGGATCGTCCCAGTCAATCATTGGAACCACGGCTTCCAGGTATATGGGCCATTCTCCGTAAAAGGGCATAAATATTGTCACCATCAGATTGTGACTTTATGCAAAAAATATTTTTGAAAATTTAATAGAAACATTTTTAATATGTCTTATATAAATTGTACACGTAGTAAAAAATATACATTTTTGTTTTATTTAATACATACACCGAGTTTTATATGTTTCGTCATGTTCCGAGGCTGTCACCAATATTTTTCAGAAATCAGTCATGATCTAATTCTTACAGCAGGTTTATTAAAAAATAAAACAAATAGTTTAAATGAGTAGACTATAATGATATTATGTGAAGCATATTGCTTTCATAATTCAACTATTTTTGTTACTTTTGATCGTATTTGTTGTTGTCACCACGTTTCGGGTCATTACCAAAGCTTAAAATAAAAATTGTAAAATTTGGCAACATGGATTAGCTAATAGGCGGGTTACTTGAGTTGTTGTCTCTTCATACTATTTAGTACGTGGTGAGCATTCGAGAAGTTAGGGCGTAATTAGAAATAAAGGTTCAAGAAGCAGTCTTCGGTGAAAAACAGGTGCGTACATTTAATCTTCATCATCTCCGTAGATACTTGCAAATTCGTAAAAAACAATTATGTCAAATAACTTTTTGGATTTTTAATTTCTTAAATACTGCATTTAATATTAATATTGATTATTATTTTTCAAATCAATAAAATGCCTGTAAAAATTAGTGAAAACAAGAAAATCGTCATATCCGAGGCCATCATTACCGAAGATAAACAAGCTTTGGTAATGATGCTATTCTACGGAGATGACAAATTTTAAGTATCCTTGATCGTGTTTTGTAGTTTTTCGGTAAACTAATAGTATATTTTACTATTTATAACAGTTATGGCAAAGGTTAAGAATGATGAAGAAAAAAGGCAAAGAAAAACCGAATTACAAAAAATTCGAAGAGAAAACATTAGAAAAATGCAGCTCTGCACGAAATTGAAAAACAAAAAGAAAGGGAAAGGTATATACGCAGAAAACAACAAGGAAAATTAAGAAGAATCAGTATGCTCACAGAAAGGGAAAAACGTTCTAAAAGAAAGGGATGGAAAGCATGTTCGAAAAAGTATAGAATAAAGAAAAAAGAAGAAAACATTCAAAGATTACGTTTTATTAATGAAAATACTCCACCATCAAATCCTGCTATAATACTTTAATTCGAAGACGAAAGAAAATACGTAGAGACAGAGCGAAGGCTTATCGAACAATTAATAAAATGCAGTTGGAACTAAACCATATCAAGAAACGATATAATAGATACAAAAGAAAATATTATAGACTGAAAAAAGAAATGAAAAAACTAGTCCCAGAATGAAGTTAAATAAGCTCATAAAGGGTATTAAAGTTCCTGAGAATATAAAAAGAAAACTTCTTTTTAATGAAGTATTAATGACCCAACTGGAAACCAATTTTAAACTTGCGAAAACGCCACGTGAAAAAGACAAATTTAGAGAGGTTATAACCGGCAAAATTATTAAAAAATACAGGTTTATCAATCAAATTAACTTTTTAAGCTGTAAGGTTAGAAAACCCAAGAACAGAGATAGGAGAAGAAATATTGAATTAAGGAAAAAAATCATAGGAGATATTGAGAATTTTATGGAAAAAGACGAATTTAGTACATTGTGTCCTGGAAAAGAGGATATAATTACAAGAAATAAAATTAAAAAACAAAAGAGGTACATTAATCAATCTTTAAAACAAACATACAAGGATTTTAGAAGCCAACACAATTATTTCTTAAGTTATTCTAAATTTTGCAAGCTTTGTCCTTTTTGGGTAGTTCCTCGTAATGTGAATGAAAGAGATACTTGTATGTGTACTACATGCACAAATGCGAATCTTCTTGTAAAAAAAATGAGGATTCTCAATATGATCAAAACTAATATTGTTCACGAGTTGATCAA